CCATCTTCACTGTCAGCATTCTCATTATCTCTTACCTGGATTTCTTTAACAGCCTCCTGAACATTTTCCTTGCCACAGTCTTATACCTCACCAAGCCATTGTGGGTAGAACAACCTTGCTAAAATAATGCTATCTTTGTAACTTCAGGGGTCAGCAAACTTTTTCTGTAAAAAGCCAGATAATAAATATTTTCAGAGCTTTGTGTACCACTGGCTCTGTGCTGTAGCTATGCAACTGAGCCACAGACAGCATATAAATGAATGATAATAACTTTCTTTTAGTAAACTTCATTTACCAAACAGATGTAGGACCAGATATGAATCATGGGTTATAGTGTGTCAGTACCTCTTTTACAACTTGTCTACCATTAGTGACTTCCCATTGTCCTTACCGTCAGATACAAACTCCATAATGTAACCTAAAAACCCTGCCTCATCTTGACATCTCCCATTACACTCTCTGCTGCCCACATACTGAAATTTCACTTCTTGCAATATATTTTTCTTTTCTTCTTTTCTCCCCCATGCCTTTATGTATGGAATTTCCTTTCCTTTTCCTTCCCCTTCTCCATCTGGTTTAATACCTACTTAGCCTTCAAGTCCTAATTTACATGTCATTTCTTATGAGAAGCTTTTCTGGATCCATCTGTACCTCCCATAAGTGTGGATCAAATTGACCTCCTCTGTAAACTCAAGGAATACTCTCTACTCTCTAGCACTTTCCACATTGAATTTTGCCCAGAGGACAAGCTACAGATAGGTGGGGATCAGGGTGTCTTTTTCATTATTAGAGCCATACCTCTCAGTACACAGTAGGATCATAGTGAATAAATGTTATTTATTTATTTATTTATTTGTTACTATTGTTTTTTATTACTGTGATTTGGGTGAAAAGTTTACAGACCAAATTCACTTTCCATACAGCAGTTCACATACACATTGTCTGATGATGTTGACAGTTTACCCCAATGCAACACCTCCCCTCTCACTTCCTCCCAATAGTTACCTCTTCCCTGTGTCCATCCCTCCATGTACTCCTGCCCCCT